ATCAAGAAAAGAGAAATAGGCTCACAAAAAAAGAAAAAAAAAAAGAAGAAAAGAGCAATAGTGTTCAAGCTTTCAAGTACTTACAGCATTGGTGAAAGCAGACAAAACTTCAAGTCTCTTGTACCTAAAAAAGGGAAAAACTCATTAGGCATTCACTGAGTTTCATATTCTCTATTAAGCATGAGGATGAGGCCACTATTCAAACAAAACTGCCCTCGGTTTATTTAGAACAAGTTCCCCGCAAAATTACGAGGATGTATACTCAGCAGAGGATAGAGTCCACCACCCTCCCACCCCCTACTAATTATAAAATCTCTTGTCTCCAATGAGGGAAGAACCCGCATTTTCACGCAATGTATTATGCAAATTTCTAACTCAAGCCAAGAATAACAGAATACATTTCAAAACTCACCCATATGTGTAGGTACCATCAGGCTTTTTCCTGGAAATAGCCATTGCAAACAATGAAAATGTTAAGAGACCACAACCAAATGTCAAGTGAAATGCATCGAAGACCAGACCTGAAACAAAAGCATAATCCAAATTGATAAGCATCAAAGGTTTTTTTTCAAATGAAGAAGAAAAGATGCAAGGGAAAGAAATCAAGGGAGAGCATAAAGCTAAATGTATAGGATCTTCAAAGTACACTTATTTTAATTCAAGGTTTGATTTCCAAATGGAGAACTACAATTCCTACACCAATCAGCATCAGATTGAACCAATATAACCCATAGAACAAACTGAATGCACCACTGTGGAGGAGACAATGACAACTGACAAGCATATATGTAACATGATTCTTACCAAGGAAAACCAAGATTTCTCTAAACTTTTCCCAGTGTTAATCCATAACAATCACACAGTAGATTCACAAGACACAACTCCAAACACTGTATTCATTCATTCTTAAGCTGAACCTAAGTCAAAACACAAACAGAGAGAAAGGTTGGAGAAACTCCACATACCTACTCGGCCTGAAAAAAGGCCAACGCATAACTCAACGGTAGAATAAGCTACATTCAGTGAAATCAACAGAAACAGCCTCCTCATCGGCTTGTTTCCCGACGTGACGCCCCTAAAAACAGCGGATACCAGGGAAGAAGCCGAAAATTTCTCGTCAGAGATCTTCGATTCCGCAGGGAACCTCTCCGACGAATCTCGATAGTAGATGTCCGGTATATCGATGCTCGAAACGTTCCGCATGAGAAGAGGCTTCGAGAAACTGTTCGATTGTTGAAACGACACTTGCCGTGAAAATGCGAATCTCCGGTCACTGCCGCCGAAATCGAAACCACCGCCACTCGACGGCGGTCTCGGCGACTCCGCATCCACTTTCCGGTAATTAATCCTTGAATCGTAGAGCTCTGTAGCCATCGGAGGTTCCATTTTTGTAAAAACGTGAAAAGTCAGATCAAATGTGCCTTGAATGGGAGTAACCAGAGAGAGTGAATGGCGGCGGTGCCGCGGCTGTTGTCAGACGGTGGCCCATTTACCGGCAGTCAAAGAAAACGGCTTTTAGAAAATGGAAATAAAAAAAATAAATTCCAAAACAACTCGCTCGTGTTAAAGAAAAAATGGAGATGCGGGGGATCGAACCCCGTGCCTCTCGCATGCAAAGCGAGCGCTCTACCATTTGAGCTACATCCCCATCGATTAAAAGTTGTAATACATGTTTATTATTCTGTTGAGAGTTATGACGTTAATACGAAGTTTGACTCAATACACATCACAAGTTAGATACACAATTTTACTTTTTTATTTCATGTCTTGTTCACAACAATGAAAGGCATTTGGTAAAGTGAAAGTATGAGTTATTTTAACAAATTATTTAAAAAATGATAAAGAACGTAAAATAAGATGGTGAATAGAACAATTATTTTATTTTCATTATATCTTTCTGTTGGGTTATGGAACCCAAGGGTAGAGGAAGAAGGAGAAAGTGTACGAAGAAGATGATGAATAGTATTGGTGTTAAGCCTCCCTCCTTCCAACCTCTCCTCCCTCTTCCGAGAAGAGGGTATAAATAAGGAGGATCAGGGGTAGGGTTTTGGACTAATGGGTCGGCCCAACAGACTGGGCTGCCCTAAATAAGTAATTAATGAACGACTAACGTGCCGATCCAACAAACTGGACCGCCCCGACTAATATTATACAAAGACCGGATACCCATGTTCAAGGTATCCATCAATATATATATATATATATATATATATATCTGTGTGTGTGTGTGTGTGTGTGTATGTATGTATGTATGTATGTATGTATGTCTGTGTGTGTGTGTGTATATATATATATATAGACAGACACACACACACATGATCACACACACGCGATATTTTTTTTAGGTTTTGTACATGTAAAAATTAAATCGTTAATATGTGGAGTATAAAATTTCATTTTCATATAATTCATAAAAATTATTAAAATATAACTTTTTTATGATTTTTACTTTTGATTTTCTCATTTTTTTTGAAAATTAAAAATACAAAATTATTTTTTTAATTTTTGAATTTTTTAACTTTTATTTTTTTCATATATTATAAAATATTTTTCAAGAAAAATGATTTTAAAAAATAAGGTTTCTAAAAGCCAAGTTTAAAAGCTAGTCCTATTGGCTTTCGGATTTTGGCATTTCGGATCAAACATCTAAGTGAAAAAGTCATTAGCCAAACTATGATTTGGCGGTTCAATAAGTCAAAGTCAGTCAAAATGACAAAAGTTATCCAAAAAATTGTTTTCCAAACACAGTCGTAGTCTTTTAATAATGAGATAGATAGTCGTTTAGTACTAATCTATCTAGTACTGAGATAAATAATTTGTGATAGACTATCTATCAGTACTATAAGATTTTAAAGATTTTAGTACTGAAACACTTTATTACTAAAAGACTATCTATCTTAGTCAATACTAACCTATCTAATACTCATATAGATTATCTCAATACTAAAAGACTATCTATCTCAAACTATTTATCTTCAATACGAAAAGGCTATCTATCTTCACTGCTAAAAAATTATCTATCTCAGTACTAAAAGACTATATATTGAACAAACATTTTATTGAACATTTCATTGAACGAACATTTTATTGAACATTTCATTGAACGAACATAGTTTTTAGTACGAACATTTTATTGAATGAACATTTTGTACCGTCTTTTAGTGCGGAGATAACAATGTAGTTTTTTATTGAATGAACAAAATACCAATATAATTTTTTTTGAAGGAACATTTTGTGCTAGTATGAATAACAGTATGAATTAAAAGGGAGAGATGCACCACAGCCCCCTATGATTTCAAAAAGGAGCTCCAACACCCTCGTGGTTTTAAAAGTAACTTATAATATACCTCTGGTTTGTAAAGAGAGCACATGCACCCCATCTAGAAGTAACTTATACTATTTTTTTTAAATCAATTTTTTTCTTAATTTCTCAACTTTGTTCCTCTATTATTTTTTTAAATCAATTTTTTTCTTTATTTCTCATAATTGAATAACAAAAAGAATTATAGAAACCAGCAAATTAATTACATATAATGAAACAAACAATCTAATAATGATAAAATTTATAAATAAAATAATTATTTGATGGATTAGGGATTTTTCCTAATCCAATATCATTTGAACAGTACAAGAAAGCCCAATTTTATCTGGCCCAAGATATAAATCAGATAAATTATTCAAGACGGAACCAGAGATATATGGACAGAAGAATATATTTGAAGTGATGTGAAAATATTCTGTGGAGCCCATATACTAAACATATGCACATGGAGGTGACATGGCCACCTCATGGCATTGTTGGAATGCATGCATGTACTCCCCTTTAAATACAATGCTACGAATGACGGAAGATAGAGGCCAGATTCCTACAACATGTTCCTATTATTCTTCATTCTTCTTTTTCTTTAAGCTTGGAGCTCATACAATGATGTATATGTAAATTCCCTTGAATTTAATAAAAGTTCCTCCCCTTTGGCATGGCACCGCCTAGAAAGGCCTGTGGTTTTCTCCCGATTTGGGTTTCCACGTATAAATACTTTTTCTCCGCTTTATTTATTTATTTATTTATTTTTCCGGATTTCGCTATTCGGTGCGGTGCCGACCCGGTACCGATTTCGTCGGGTCGACGCCCCGAAAAAGCGGTTTCCATCACTATTTATTGACTTTAAATAATGCACCATACACCGAAATTAAAATAAGAAGTAAATCACAACAAATTTATTGATAGAGTACATATAATTTATTCATTCATAAAAATAAGGTTACAAAATACATGTCATAACTAATTTATTTTGTGAAATTCATAAAACATAAACTTAGACATAATTGAAATCCATGATATAGTTATTGTTCATTGCGACGTCGCCGTGATCGGTAGTCCATGTTATTCGGACTTCGTAGTCAGTTCATCTCGATATCCGAATAACATGGACTACCGACCACGGCGATGTCGCTATGAACAATAACTATATCATGGATTTCAATTATGTCTAAGTTTATGTTTTATGAATTTCACAAAATAAATTAGTTATGACATGTATTTTGTAACCTTATTTTTATGAATGAATAAATTATATGTACTCTATCAATAAATTTGTTGTGACTTACTTCTTATTTTAATTTCGGTGCATGGTGCATTATTTAAAGTCAATAAATAATTATTTTAGTTATGAATTTTATCATTATTAGATTGTTTGTTTCATTATATGTAATTAATTTGCTGGTTTCTATAAAAAAAAATTTTATTCAATTATGAGAAATAAAGAAAAAGATTGATTTAAAAAAAATAATAAAGGAACAAAGTTGAGAAATTAAGAAAAAAAATTGATTTAAAAAAATATAATATAAGTTACTTCTAGATGGGGGATGCATGTGCAGCCTTTACAAACCATAGGTATATTATAAGTTATTTTTAAAACCACTAGATCTTGGAGCTTCGTTTTGAAAAGCTGTGGTGCATTCCCCGAATTAGAATTGGAATGCATTTTTAGTTGGAGACAATCATTTCTCTAGGCGGAAATAATCCGTCTACCCCACCCTAACGGTCGATTTTCCGACCTAAATTAAGCCACCCGTCGTCACTCATCATCAATGAAAGCTTACAAGTTACAAATCTCTCTCTCTCTCTCTGAAAATCAAATCTCGAATTCGGAAAATGGAGAACAGAGTGAGATCAGAATCAGCCAAGGTTCAGCACGTCGCCAGAGCTTCATCGGACGAGCTTCTCCGGAAATTCGCCGAAGTCGGCTCTGCATCCGAAGACGAGCGAGAGCTCCGGCTTGTCAAGCGCCTGAGAAGGAGCGAAACCGCCAGCGGCCGCCGCCGCCATCGCGGTGGCGGAAGGGAAGCGGCGAATTGCAGCGGCGGTTCGGCGGTTGTGGAGAGGATGTCACTTATCATCTCTCCGGCGGCGCCGGTCCGGCACTTCGGAATCGGGAAAGTCAGGGTCCGATCCATGGATTTAAGGACCAGGTCTTTCGTCGGTACTCTAAAGAAGGTAAAGATTATTTCTGAATATACGCATAATTATTAGTAACAATTTAAAGTTTTGTTCTGTGACAAATTAGCAACTTGATTAAAATTAAAACATGTTAGGTACAAAATTTACAAATTTTTAAGGTATGCTAAAAAAATTAAGCATAAATCTTTATCTTACACCTCTTTTGGTTGTGTTTGTGTTGGCATACAAACCAATCCCACACTGGAGATTTAAAAGAGAATGATAAATTCGTGAAGACTTAGTTCAAAATAAAAAATATCATACTAATGTGAGGTTGAGATGAGGTTACGCGCGGATGGTGCGGTCCCATCAGTTATTCAAAAAAACTTTACATTTTATTTTATCAAGGTAAATGATATGTGACTTACTCTTTGATCTCTTTTAAACAAAATTCAGAGTACCTAAAAAATACTCATTCCGTTTCAGTGTATTTGTTCAGTTTGATTTTATCGAGTTAGACTCGACAAGCTATGATTGAGAAATGAGAACTTTCAAAATTATATTTCATTATTCTAATATACAATAAAAATTGAGAACAATTAGGGATTAAAGTTTGTCCAATTGGACTCAAAAAAAAATTAAATTTGATAAATACACTGAGACGTATGTAATAATGTTTAGCATTGCTATTTTAGAGAGTTGTTATGATTTTACCTTTATTGTTTGAGCTAAAGATGATTTTATTGACAAAATGGCATTTGTGTTGTTGTATGTATGCCTTTTTTTGTTCAGACATGGCGAAAGACCATAGAAGGGGCATCCAATGTCTTCATTGAGAAACAATATAATGGACACAAACGCCTCATCAATGACATCTACTAGTTTAATTATGTGCTCATTGAATATGTAAAAAATAATCATTATTTAATGTTGAGTGTTCTTTTTTTCTTACTCAATGTCTAGCATTATTTATTTATTTGTTCAATTTGACTTTTTTGAGTCAAACTGGACAAATTTTGAACTTCAATTACTCTCAATTTATATTGCATATAAGATTAATGAAATACAATTTTGAAAGTTCTCAATACGATAAATTCGATAAAGTCATTTTTATGTTAAAATGCATTATGTTTTTTATTTAACTGAAGCTCAAAGTTTATCCAATTTGAATCGAAAAAGTCAAACTGGACAAACACATTGAGACGGAGGAAGTAATTTTATTGATTTGTTGTGTGTTAAAAAAACTAGTTACTCCTAATTCAAAATATGGCAAGATTTAGAAATTTACATGGAGTTGGAGTCACATGTATCTTTTCTCAAATGCAAATGAATAAAAGAAAAAAACACATAACAATGTACAGAGTATAATTTAGGGGTAAATTTCACAAATGGTACCTGAACTTTAGCTGGAATTTCGAAGTAGTACCTGAACTTCAAATCCTTTCACAACAATTCCTGAACTTACACAATCATTTCACTAATGAGCCATTAGCTCGTTTCTATTTTAAAATTTTCAATTCGGGTCGGAGCGTTTTTCGGCCAACTCCGGCGAAATTGACGGCGGGCACCAACGCCAATGCGGTCGTGGCATCCGGGCGACCTCCAAGGACCCCTCAATTGCAAGATTTGATGAAGATTTGCAAAACCCCCAATGTTGGATCCAATTTCGAATTTTAGGGTTTTTTCGAGTAGAAAAATTCAGATTCGAGAAGTTACAGGCCAAATTAGACAAAATGGTTTGGATATTATTGATCCTCGTCTCAAGACGAAGAGAATGACATTGGTCCCGTCGGAATCGGAAAAAGTTCATTTTCCGGCGACTTTGACCGGCGGGCGGCGGCGGCGGGGCGTGGAAGAAAAGAAAAGAAGAAATGGGGTCAAATTGAAAATTTTAAAATATATAAAATTCGAATTTGGCCCTAATGACCGGAAGTTAACCTAGAAACGGGCTAATGGCTCATTAGTGAAAGGATTGTGTAAGTTCAGGGATTTTTGTGAAAGGATTTGAAGTTCAGGTACCACTTCGAAATTNTTTAAAATTTTCAATTCGGGTCGGAGCGTTTTTCGGCCAACTCCGGCGAAATTGACGGCGGGCACCAACGCCAATGCGGTCGTGGCATCCGGGCGACCTCCAAGGACCCCTCAATTGCAAGATTTGATGAAGATTTGCAAAACCCCCAATGTTGGATCCAATTTCGAATTTTAGGGTTTTTTCGAGTAGAAAAATTCAGATTCGAGAAGTTACAGGCCAAATTAGACAAAATGGTTTGGATATTATTGATCCTCGTCTCAAGACGAAGAGAATGACATTGGTCCCGTCGGAATCGGAAAAAGTTCATTTTCCGGCGACTTTGACCGGCGGGCGGCGGCGGGGCGTGGTAGAAAAGAAAAGAAGAAATGGGTCAAATTGAAAATTTTAAAATATATAAAATTGGAATTTGGCTCTAATGACCGGAAGTTAACCTACAAACGGACTAATGACTCATTAGTGAAAGAATTGTGTAAGTTCAGGGATTTTTGTGAAAGGATTTGAAGTTCATGTACTACTTCGAAATTCCAGCTAAAGTTCAGGTACCATTTGTGAAATTTACCCTATAATTTAGACAAATTTTTAGTGATCTCAATTTAAAAGCAATTACAGAAATGAGGAGGGAAATGGCATTGAAAGCCATTTTTATTTTTTTTAATGTTCGAATAATATTACGAAAAATAAGAGCGAATCAGAAAAGATTCCTGAAATCAACAAAAAATGAAATTCATTTTGAGGAATGTCTCTTTTTGATGAAAAACCTTTTCCCGCCCTTGTGCCTCTGCCATTTCTAGTTTAAAGGATTTGGATTTGGAGGAGCACTACATGACCCGACCCTTATCTCCTACTACTATAAGGCATCTTCCTCTCCTTACAAGTGTCATATTGAATGACTCCGGGCTTCTTTTCTTTACTTGATCTGAACGATTTTGAAGTTATTAAAATAAGTTCTGATCTGATTGAATCTAATTTGATTTGAATGAAGTTATGATTAAAGGTGTTTGTGGTTAGATATGATCTGAACTGAATTTACTCAAATAAGAATAAGTAATAGTCCACCCATCCTAAAAATTTCTTCCCGTTTCGCTTTATGAGCTAAGATTTGAGCAACTTTATTTCCAATTCAATTTATTTGATTGTAGATGTAAAATATAAAAATAAATTTATATATTTAGAAATTACATTAAAAGTTCTACAAAATAAGAGGTGACATGACTATATTATTTTATCAGATAACTAACGAGAAAAGATAAAGAAAGTGATTAAAGTTTTAAGATAAATTGAGTAAGTAATAAGAATAAGTTGGAGACAACAGATGTATAGAGTATTGTATATCTTTCCCAGGGGCATCATAGTTAATTAAATAGTTTGAGAGTTGTGCTTTCAATTTTTTTTAAAGATAATGTAATATGAAATGACGAAAAAATTTATGAATACTCTTTAATAAGTTTTATCTTAAAATTTTGAATTTAACTCAGTAAAATTCAGTCGATACAAAGTATTATTTAAGTGTCGCATAATATATAAATGTAATTTTGCAAAGTAACACTCAAATTAGAAAAAAACCAAATTAGATTATCATTTTATCATTACTTGTCTCCAACAATAAATTAAACTTTTTTAACCAAAAAACAAGACTAGGACGGCAAAAAGAGTGGGTTGTAGCTGTTCCTAGAGTCTGTTTTATTCAACTCATTCTATCGGAATCAATTCAAATCAAATCAAACAAAAAATAGCTTTAAATAAACCTACATTTAGAGCAGAGTAGATCAGATTAGAGCCTATTCTAATTATGTCACAATCATTTAGATCCAATAAAGAGAACAAGCTCATAGTCTCGCAAGTGGCTAGTTGAGGCGTGCCACTGTAAGACTTAGCCGGAATGTCCTTGGATGCCGCTGTAACACTTAGCCAGATTAGTTATAAAACTATCTCTCACAATTTATTAATATTTCTAAATGATTTATCTGACATTAAAGCAAATTTACTTGCACGATAAAACATACTTCGTATAACTTATGAAATAAAAATTGCTAAATATTTATCAGTAATAACTCAATAAGTACTAGTGTAGAGAAATCTTTTGTGCTCAAATAAATACTTCAAGCCTTTAAGGGACTTGCGCAAAGATTAAAACACGTGTAATTGAAATACGGAGTATCAAAGATTAACTTATCTGCATAACACGTTTATTTTTATAAGAACACACAATTTAATTAGTTTTAAAAAGAAATTAATTTACTTTAAAATTTTTAGAAAAATAAGGAGAAGCAATGAAAAATGTTCAGAAAAAGCAATGTCAATTAATGTCTCCATTAAAGCAATGTCAAAAGAAAGGGAGAGAAGAAGTCTTTCATTCCTTCTACTGAGTATGAGCTAAGAAAGAATACCAAATATAATTATATAAAGTTGTGCTCCATTTTGAATTATCAGTCTTCACTCAGAATACTCTTTTCCAGTAGTAGTAGTTCCCACTGCCAATTATTTTTCCCTATTTTAATATTTTCCCAATATGTCTCACTATTTTGTTTTTTTAGTTTTATGTTTGTCTCATTATTATTATTATTATTGATATTGTCTTTGTGGTCCTAAAATATTTGTTCAATTTATTTTTTTGCCAAATTGCGTAAATTTTGATCTTTAATTAACTACAAATTACATTACACAATAATGCTAAAACATTTTTCAAGATTTATCTTACTTTTAAAAAAATTACATTTAGATAATATGTGATGTAATTTAATATGAGATGCAATTTTTTCAAGTGATGACCCAATATCACCCAACTTGATTCAAAATATCAAGCTCCACGAATACTTAAAAATAGAAAAAGTATTAATTACTCCGTAATACTTTGTAACATTGACATATCTCACATTTATCGATCCCCATAACTTTTTTATTTTTAAATGTATTTGAGAAGCTATCGTACAACTTTGCTTTAAAAAATTACGCGTCACCTGTTATCTAATAAGTTGTCTTTTATCTATACTCCTATAGGATAATAAAGTCATGTTATAATGGAGTAAGTAAATTATTTTGTGAATATAAACTTTTATTGTACATTTTATTTGATTTGTCTAAATTTTGAAGGAGTATTTTTATAAGCCCTCCTCTCCTGGCCGGATTTGCTGAGAAAGAAGAAACACTTCTTCTCTGTATATGCACACAGATGGATATATACAATCAAGATTCCGAATTTCCACACATGCTGCAATCTCCCAAATCGTTTCGTTTTCTTGAATTCGTTGCAGCAGTTGTAACAGAATTCATCATCTTCTTCTTCTTCTTCTCTGAATCGTCTATAAATACTCCCCATTCCACTTGTTCATCCGCAGGACTCTTCTCTGATTTCTCTCTCGCGTAAGAACACTTGCGCATAGATATTCTTCTCTGGTTTATTCCATCTCCAGCCCTTTTCTTGGATGACCCCCCGTTTGATTGATGATAAAAATGAAATCTTTTTTCAGGTTTCTGCGTGAGATTGGATTCTTGGGAGTGTTAGAGCGCAGAAATTCTCTTTTCTCTTTTACCTTTTTCTTTATTGTATGGTTCTCTCGTTAGCTTTGGGTTCTTTGATTTGTAATGCTCTGTTAATTCTGGGGTTTATGAGTGGGTTCGGGTTCTGATTGAATTTTCTGCGATTCTTTTTTCCCCAGAATTTCAAGAAGCTTCTGCAATGGCGCCGTTCTGGGAAACGATTTCGAGGTGCTGGAAGCCATTGAAGAAGAAGTACACCCGCGTGAGGAGGGAAGAAGGCAGTACGAATAATCTTGGCAGGGAAGACGACGAGCTCCTCTGGTTCAGAGACATCGGGAAACACAGTTCCGGCGACTTCTCCTTCGCCGTCGTTCAAGCCAACCCTGTCCTCGAGGACTACAGCCAGGTCGACACCGGACCCCAGTCCACCTTCGTCGGAATCTATGACGGCCACGGCGGCCCTGAAGCCGCCGCTTTCATCTGCAACAACCTTCTCAAGAATCTTTCCAGTCAGTTCTTCTTCTTCTTCTTCCTCCTCCTCCTTTCTTTAAATTACAGAACTCTGTGTTAAATAATTTCTGGGAATTTCTTTCTTCACAGGGATAGCCATAGAAGAAGGGAGAATGTCCGATGAGGTGCTGAGAAACGCCATAGCCGAGACAGAAAACGGGTTCTTGAGGGTTGTGGAAGGCGAATTCGAGAAGGCGCCGTTGATTGCAATCAAGGGCTCTTGCTGTTTGGTGGGGCTCATTTGGAAAGGGACGTTACTCGTTGCCAATCTTGGAGATTCAAGGGCTGTTCTTGGAGTTCTTAACAGGCCCAACAATGGAATCTCTGCTGACCAATTGACCAGTGAGCACAATGCCTGTTCTCCAGTTGTTAGGGAAGAGCTCAGATCTCGCCATCCCGGCGATGAAAAGATCGTCGTCTTCAAAAACCAAGCTTGGCGTGTTAAAGGAATCATTCAGGTTTTATTTCCGCATCCAAACGCGCCTTAAGGAAATTCTCTGTAATTTCTAATTTTATTTTTTTTTCAAATTTATTTATGTTTTAGGTGACGAGGTCCATCGGAGATGCATATCTGAAGAAGCCGGAGTTTGGGTTGGGCCCGGAGTATCCAAGATTTCATGTACCGGAGGGGATTGATGGGCCGGTGCTGAGGTCCGACCCGAATGTGTACACGAAACGGTTGACGCCGGAGGACAGGTTTCTGATCATGGCGTCGGACGGGCTGTGGGAGCATTTGACCAGTCAACGGGCAGTGGAGATGGTGCATATGAACCCGAGGCCGGGAATTGCCCGGAGGCTAGTCAGGGCGGCGTTGACCGAGGCGGCTGCGAAGGCCGGGATGACCTATGACGCGATCAAGGCGTTGGGGCGTGGGGCGAGGAGGAGGTACCACGATGACATTACGGTGGTCGTTGTTTTCATAGATCAAATCCAGGGCGCCGGCGCCGGCGGGAGGGTTGTTTCCGTCAAGGGGTTCTCCCTGAGCGACGGCCCATCTGACCTCAACGACGTATTTCTGCTGGCCGGCGGCGATGATCCCGCTGGGCCCTCCTCCTCCTCCCGCGGCGACGATGCAGCTGGGCCCTCCTCCTCCTCCCGCGGCGAATCTTCTGAATCTAAGCCTCTGATAGTGGACCCCAAGTCTGGCGGCGACGATGATGACGCGGTGGCCAGAAAGGGCAAGGCGGCGGCTACATGCTGAAAAGGCGCGAATTCTTTCGACCCAGAAGTTTTTAGAAAAAATGACGCAGTAGAAGCAAAAAAAACATTCTTTCGTTTTTTACACTGACTTACAGTTAAAAAAAAATAGTGAGGTTCTTTTAGAAGTTCAAAAAAAAAATAGGCATTCTTTGGTTCTTTTAGAAGTTAAAAAAAAAAGAGGCATTCTCTGGTTCTTTTGGTACAAAAAAAGAGGTGAGATTCTGATAGTGTATGGAAGTTCATAGATTCAGCAAATAGGCAAAAAACAATTTGTAATCTCATGTTTTGCTTCAAAGTTTTCATCTTTGATATGTTACTTTCTTCCTTCTGCTTTTTTACTACTGCTTTTTTACTACTGCTTCATATGTCCATTTCACTTTGACATGTGAGGGAAATGAGCATTAAACCAAATGAAATGAAAGAACAGAGAGCCAAACACTGCTAATAAAGTTGTTTCTATTTTCCATTTATTGCATTGATGATGGATGATACTCTACTCTTGTTTGTTGAGTGAGTGTGTGTCCACACACTTTTACATTAAAAGTAATATAATAAATAAATAAACAAAACCCAATGGAATTAAACTTCATAAATGGTGGTAGGAGTAGTAATAATAATAATAACAATAATTATTATAATTATGATATAAATATATAAATAAACAAATAAAATGGAAGCAGCAACAGCAATGAAGGGCAACTGTTTCCATAACTAACACAGCTTCCTTGTTGTTGAGGTTGTTGTTATCTTATGCATCAATCTCATGATGATGATGATGATGATGAAGGCACAGTGGCAGCAAAATATTTAGAAGCATTTTCTGTGAACAATTGAAGGCCCTGACTCATCATATTCTGCCTTGGCTATCCACATCTGCCATCAACATCCATAACATAAATTTTGTTTCATTCTTTCAATGTATGAAATATAATTGAGAGAGAGAGAGAGAGAGAGAGAGAGAGTGTGTGTGTGTGTGTACTTCAGCATTATTTTAATTTATGTCTAAACAAGTTCTTTTTTGATAGACAAATACCTGTTGGAATGTGCTGAGGGAAGCCAGGATAGAGCCACCAATCCAAACACTGTACTTCCTTTCCGGCGGGGCAACGACCTTAATCTTCATGCTGCTGGGGGCCAGCGCAGTGATCTCCTTGCTCATCCGGTCAGCGATTCCGGCGAACATTGTGGTCCCACCACTCAGGACGATGTTCCCGTACAGATCCTTCCTGATATCCACGTCGCACTTCATGATTGAGTTGTATGTGGTCTCATGGATGCCGGCGGATTCCATCCCGACCATCGAGGGCTGGAACAGGACCTCCGGGCAGCGGAACCGCTCGTTGCCGATGGTGATCACCTGCCCGTCGGGCAGCTCGTAGTTCTTCTCCACGGTTGAGCTGCTCTTCGACGATTCCAACTCTTGTTCGAAGTCAAGAGCAATGTAGGCCAGCTTCTCCTTCACGTCCCTCACGATTTCCCGTTCTGCTGAGGTTGTGAAGTTGTAACCCCTCTCGGTCAGGATCTTCACTAGGTAGTCCGTGAGGTCACGTCCAGCCAAATCCAGACGAAGGATGGCGTGGGGAAGGGCATACCCTTCATATATAGGGACAGTGTGGCTCACACCATCCCCAGAGTCCAGAACAATTCCTGCCAACAAACACCAACCATTAGGCATAAGGGCATAAGACCTTTGGGTTGGACCACACTAAAGGTTGGTTACCTTAGTAAGGATAAAACCCTGCTTTGATACCATTATAAAAACTTAAAGATTGATGAGGGTAGCTAAATCGGGCCACAAAACACTTGAGCTGAATCACACCAAAAGAGTGAACCCAATTGATTATTTACTTCAACTCAAAACCTTATTATTCTTTCTCTAGTTTTCTGGTGCAAGATACCTTTAAGGGGCTGTTTGGCAATTTCTGAATGGGTAAGTGCTGAACCAGTAAGAGGTCTGAATCATTAAGTGCTGAACCAGTAAGAGGTCTGAACCATTAAGAGCTAGTATATTGCTTAACTATTCAGAAGCAAATGTCTGATCAATTCAGATAACAACTCTTAACCATTCAGACTCTGTATAATACTTAACCATTCAGAGGCAAATTTCTTAACCATTCAGACATCTGAACCATTAAGAGGCTGAAACAAACAGTCTGAATCATTAAGTGCTGAATCATTCAGACATCTGAACCATTAAGAGGCTGAAACAAACAGCCCCTAAGTGCATTGTTGATACTGCATGGGATTTTAATTGGTGAAGGATAAACAATGTGTGATTATATTAAATTACATATCTATATTTATTCATCAAATTCAAATTGAATGTAGTTTAATCACATGAATTAGAGGCATCAAACTTGGGCAGAAATTTACCAGTTGTACGACCACTGGCATAAAGGGAGAGGACAGCCTGAATAGCAACATACATGGCAGGGGCATTGAAGGTCTCAAACATGATCTGAGTCATCTTCTCACGGTTAGCCTTGGGGTTAAGAGGGGCTTCTGTGAGAAGAACCGGGTGCTCCTCGGGTGCCACACGAAGTTCGTTATAGAAGGTGTGATGCCATATCTTCTCCATGTCATCCCAATTGTTGACAATTCCATGTTCAATTGGGTATTTCAGGCTCAAAATACCTCTCTTTGATTGGGCCTCATCGCCAACATAGGCATCTTTCTGTCCCATACCAACCATCACTCCCGTGTGTCGGGGGCGTCCCACAATGCTAGGGAAGACTGCCCTTGGGGCATCATCTCCCGCAAATCCAGCCTGAAAATTCCAAGAACATTTGAAATGCCTAAACCCACTCCCACAAAAAAATGCTATTGATGGATATTAAGAGTAAAATGGAAGGGAAATTTAGAAGGGGTGATAATTAATTTCTTTAAATACTAGTTCTAACTCAATACATCAAACATTTGTTAAAAATTACTTCCTTCATCCTACATATTTCTTCCCTTTTCTTGATCAAACCTTTTTAAATTTGATTACAAAATGCAGAAAAATTACATGGAGTAATAATGTACTCCGTATCAAAAATTTGATTTTGAAATGTAGAATTAAAATATCTTATTTTTACATGCTACTATATATCTATATACTCCTATATAAATATATCTATATATAAACAAAGATGACATCAATGGTCAAAAAGTCAATGGGAGATCATGAAAAGTCAAATGAACAAAAAAGGATATAAGTCTATAGGAAGGATGGAATGATCATTTTCCCCTGTTTGTTTTTCTTCTTAACTTTCCATGTCAGTTTCATAGTCTACCCACGCAGAAGATCTGTACCTTGACCATTCCTGTTCCATTGTCACACACCAGAGGCTGAATATCCTCACCTTCTGCCATCTTCTAAAAGTGCTGTGAAAAAACCAGACATGTTAAGCAAGTATTGAGCATGAGGGCAAAACTTAATACAAGATCAATTCCCGACCATAGCTCAAATAAGAGCACACCCAGCAAATGACGAAGCTGATAAATTTCAATCAGTAGTATTTTGATCACTATGAATCTCTATGTTCATTTCAAAAAAGAGTTACACTCGCAGATCGTCAGATCCGATTCCAACAGAAGAAAAACCAGATCGCGAGACGCGAAAATGGAAAAAATGAAAAGATGATCGAAGAAAATGTTCCGATTATGCAGCAAATTGCCATACATTTTCCCCCGATTGCATGAAATTAACCCCAAAGATTCAAACTTTGACGAAGAAAATGTTCAGATTTCGCAGCAAATCGCTAAACATGTCCCCCGATTGCATAAATTAACCTCGGCGATTCAAACTTCGAGGATGGATGGATATGAACACAACGAAGGCTTTTATTTAGTACCTTTTTTTCAAATGGATTTCTCAGGGTCTTCTTCTTCTTCGATTGCTCTTGCTTGAACAAAGAATAATTGTTTTCTGCTCGTCCTCGTCGGGTTTATAAATACGTGTGGATTTTCCAAGGACTGAGTCTCGGCCTCAAATGGACGTTCGGGTCAAATTTGCCCCAGAAAATCGGATCTGCAGAAGATAATGGCCGTAGCTCTCGTGCGTGGTTCATATTGCTGGGCTTTGGGCTTTCGTTCGTTTTGTTTCAGGTGAGGACAATTATACCCTTTGTTCATTTTCAAATTAAGAGAATGACATGAAGAGCCTGTTTGAAAACAACATTAGAGATTAGCGTTACCGTTTTGGATAAAATTTTAACATTACAAATTATTTTGAAAACGCTGGCCGTAGATAGCCTTTTTCAAAATGCTGACGCTAATCTTTAACGCTATTCCCAAACATGCCCGAAAATTAACAAATAATCCGTATTAGATTGTGTCATTAATGTTGATTTAAAATGTACAGAGTAAATAAAACAAAAATGAATCTCGTTATACCAATACGATCGAATATGATATGTGAACTTCTCTTTTGACTTGAGCGATACTAAGATCACTCTCTAAATTCATGACGCCTCCTCCTCAAGTTTCATTGTGAAGTTCAATCAGAGGTGAAGACACCAACTCATTGTGTGTTGTTAAATTTTAAAAAAATATGAATATAAACAACATTGTGATTAAATTAATAACACTAAATATGATATGTGAAACAATAATTAGACAAATAAATATGAAGAACTTCATAGGTAGGAGTAAAAACTACAAAAATATTAAAATTGTAGTAAAAACTATAAAATACTAAAATAGAAGTAATTCTTACATTGTCACACTCATCACATTGTCACATTATAACTGTTACACACTTACACTATCACTGCCACACTGTCATCTGTCATTATCGGCCACCAGAGTGCCACCGTATAAAATTTTAATGATATTGCATACTTATCTTACTTTTTTCCAAAACTTATGTAGTTTTTAATTATTTATATTGATTTATGTATCTAAAAATTAATTGATATTTTAAAATTAAAAAATATAATATATTTAATATATATTTTTTGATATTTTAAATTTATTCCATGCAAAATGAAAGTGTTATATGTTTTTAAAAATTTAAAATACCAAAGTTATAACCCGCTGGGTCGACTTGAACCCGATGACACTGGTTTATGAACATATAGTTCTCAACCCGAACCCGAATTGACCCGAATTTGAAGTAACCGAACTCCACCCGACTGACTGATTTTCCGGCTCTATATTTATTTTTAAAGTATAAGATAAATTTTTTATATACAAAATAAAACGAGCTACATACTCCCTTCGTCCCATATCATTTTTCGCAGTGCACCATTTCAGCTTCACATTAACCTTTATTTATTTATGTTTTTTCATGACCTATATGGTAAAATAAAATACTTTTGTCATAATTTGTTTTGTTAAACTTTTAATATAGTTTTTAAATGTGTACTTTATTTTTTATTTTGATACAAAATTTAAATAAAATAAATTGAACCAATTGTTATGTACCAATCTTATTCTCTCTCTCTCTCTCTCTCTATATATATATATATATATATATATATATATATATATATATATATATCTTTTTGCTGTGATAATAGTCAATAGAATTATACTCTCTCCCTTCCACAAAATTACTCTTCCTCTTTCATTTTATTTGCTTTTCATAAAACACTTTTACTTTCTATTAAAAAACCACTTTTAACCCTATTTTTTCATACCCTACCTATCACATCATACTTTTTCTCTAATAACCAAACTATCACATTTTACTTTTTCCCATCACATCAGGGGCAAAATTGAAAAGTCAACTAAAATTACATTTTCCTTATTTTTTCCTAAAGTCAAAATCGGAAGAGTTTTGTGAAACAGAGGGAGTAGCAAATTTTACGCCCATGATAGAATTCCTAAAACCAAGAGCACGCCATGAGTTGACAAACTAAACAATATCCTCTAGAGACTCATGGTTTACTTGCCGTGTGGAAAACTTTTATGAAATATTTGCACTAAATAGCACTAAAACTTAAGTGATTTCTTTAAAGAGCACTTAAATTGTTTTATTCCTTAAATAACATTTAATAATGTCCATAATGTCCTGTGATGACAAATATTTGCTTGAATAATGATTAATGCATAATGACTAAAAGTGCTACATTGTGAAGAAAAATACATGTGGTGCTATTTGGGAAAAGTCATTATGTTTTAGTGCTATTTAAATAAATTTCTCAACTTTTATTTACTTAATTTATATGCAAGCTCCAAAAAAACTTGCCCAACTGTCTTGAGGTGTATATATGCATCGTCTCCTTTTTGTTTGCTACTGTGTGACGTGTGCTGCTAGTATTCAAAGCTGCCTTGCACCTTTGAAGATTTCGTTCCAAATTAAAGAGAGCTCATAAACTCTGCTACTTCAGCCACATGCAATGTTCATCATGGCTTATATACATTTTACTTGATAAAATGCAATTTGTTATCGAAAATAAAACTTCAAATTCTATGGAAGATCGAGCGACTTCGTTCCTCTCCCTTTGGTTGAGCAACTCCCGTTGGTCCTACCTCAAAGATTCCATGAAAAGAAATCCAAAACAGTGTGTGTGTGTGAAAGAGAGAACACTGAGAAGATATATACCAACCTATATCCAACATGCACCACACTTGCCCAGACATAGAACGCTAAATCTACGCCTTCAAAATGTAGTAATATCCTGCACCTTCTTCTTAATCTCTGTTTTAAAATATATAAAATTCTAATTTGGCCCAACTGACCGGAAGTTAACCTAGAAACGGGCAAATGGACTTTTACTGAAAGGATTGTGTAAGTTCAGAGATTTTTCTGAAAGGATTTGAAGTTTAGGTACCACTTGAAAATTCCAGCTAAAGTTCAGGTATTACTAGTGAAATTTACGAGGATGATGGGGATTATTTTGGATCGGGCTAAATTCAACCATATAAGGCCCATTATAAAAATATTCCGTAAACAGAAAGTGGAATAACAAGGCCCAAACAACCGGAGCAACACATTTTTCGCAGCCATTTTTCCTCTCTCAAGCGTTCAATCTCTCAATGTTCTTCCCTTCATCTGCTCAATCTCAAGAACATTCATAATAAAAACGATGAATGCGAACAGAGGCATCTTCGCGCTGGTAAAATCTCAACAGCCTATCCCTTTGAACATCAGGGTATCTTCTTTTCATTCCACGCATATCCTCGAACGCAAGAGACGCTCATATTTTGATCCTGTTAGTCTCTCCTTCTCTCTATATTGCTATTTCGTTGTGTTTATTGTGTTTGAACTGGGAGATTTCGAAATGGGTACGCTGGATTTTTATATATCTATGCATTTTTGCATAAAAGAAGATGTTTTGCGCAGACATGCTGTCATGTTTTGGTATGAATACTTGTAAAGGTTCGATCTTTTCATGTTTAATGGCGGAATGTTTGTGTTTAGTTCCAGAAATTTCTTGAAATTGAGATTATATGTGGTTAATTTCTTGTATTGTGGAATGGGGCTCTGCCAAAAAAATTGAATTTAAGTTTTTTCCTAGGGAAGAAGGGCGAGTAGGAAGGCTCCATCAAGGGTAAGATAAGTTTATCACAATGTATTTATTGATTTTTAAATGTGAATATAGATTTCACGAGTATTGCGAAATGTTCCTCTATGTCAAGGAGCCGAGCTTGTTTTTGTAGCTTTAGGAAAGGTTTTATACCCTAACATGCACCCTCATGTCCTCACAACCATGTGAGATTTGTTTAAGAGAGAGACATCCTTGGTGTATAATTATTAACAAAATCCACATTGTCAAATATGAATAATATTGAATCTTGTTTGCTTTAAACTTTTCTTTATTGAGAAATAGATCATCATACAATCTGAAAAACAATTTATTTATTTTTTTTGAAAAAAATAAATACTACAAGTCTTACTCTGTAGACGAAGTCCCAATTTTATATGCTAATCCAGAGAGGGTCAGGTTGTATTTATCACATTTATAAATTGGATAAAAATGTACTCCCTAGTATGTCTTATATATGAAAGGATGTATCGTAACATACATACTAATGTTACCAAACCATGGTTTGATATTTGTAAACCAGTAAAATGTTAGTTTAGTACTTCAATGCATGTCTATGTCATGATTATACTTTCAGTTCTTATGACCTTGTTTTGGTTTGGGTGGAGTGCAAGTGAATATTTTGGTTATGATCATGATTTGTTAAGCCCAAAATTGTAAAACTTGTTTAGACTGCAAAGCCTAACCTTTCTCAGTTATGGATCACTTTCAATAACACACAACGGAGCTTTCTTACGCTGCAATTGATTAGGAATGAATTGTCAAAAATGCCCATAGCCCATAAATTTCATTCACTCATTAACTATCATCATCTTCATCATTTATGTGGATAGGTTTTTACTATCATATTATATACTTTTATGTCAAGCAAACATGCAATTATTTGAATTGTGCTTCTTGCAGAGGTTTAACTATGAGAACAAAAGATTTAGGAAATTCAATGCAAAACAAACATTATTGCGAAATGTCAGTTCATTTGCAGATGAGTTATTTCAGGTTATTTCTGAAGAAGATGAAATTCTAATATCACAACATTACATTTTAATATAAGATTGAGCTTCTTTTGACACCACTCACGGGCGTCTAATATGGTTCCTACCCCTTAGCCCTCACCCTGCCCCAGCTCTTCTGGGTTTGAAATCGTGGACTGGGGGGTAGGGGGGCAAGAACCATTTATGAGTCCAATAGAGCACCGTAAGGCTCTCAAATGACCTGGTGTCATATTATGACACTCACCTTTGGTGTCAAAAAACTCCATTCTTAATATAATACATACAGAGTAATAGTATTATATTTAGGGCTTGTAATCTTACACCACTTGAAGTGATGTAAGATCGTGACACCAGTTAAATTGGGACCGTTCATAAAATTGATGATTTCTACCTCATGATCTCTCTCACAAACCCCCACCCTGACCTCACCCCCTTACGACAATCCTAGCCCCCGCAATTGCACCATATAACTTATATGGTGCAATTGCGGGGGCTACGGTGGTCGTGAGAGGGCGAGGTCAGGGGTGGGAGTTTGTGTGGGGGGTTGTGAGGGGTAGGAAATGACAATTTTACGAACAGAGCACCGTAGGTACCTTAATTTAATTGGTGTCACAATCTTATACCACTTGGAGTGGTGTAAGATTACAACTCCCATAATATATAATACAGAGTATATTCTAGAATCAGCCAAAAAACTTGACAATAATGATAGATTGGTAGTGTTTTATTAATTTTGTCATACCTTTCTAATGATTTTGTGTCCTAGTATTCAGAGTTGGCATCGTGATTTTAATGACGACTATGATTCTTCTTCAAGCCAAGGTTGGAGGTGGTTTGATGAGGATTGTTCGTATAATGCGTCAAATTCAAGCAGATCGAGGAACAAAGGGTGGTTTGATGAGGATTTTTCGTATAAAGCATCAAAATCAAGCAAATCTAGGAGCAAGGGATCCCATAAATGGAGTAAGCTACTTTATAGTGGTGGAATAAGACATTTCTTTTGCTCTAAGCCCTTGTTTGGTTGGTTGGAAGATTTTGAATGAGAGGAAAGTGAGAGAGTGGTGTGTGTTTGGTTAAGAGAGTTAGGCTATGTTTGGTTTTGGCGGAGGGGACCCTTAATCTCCCCTCCTATCCCCCTCCCCCTCCCCATTTTCAATCCCCCCCCCCCAACTGGGGTTTTTCCGTCTCCCTCTTTTCTTCTTTGTCTTCCTCTAATATTCTTCTTCTTCCTCCTCTTCTTTGTCTCCTCCAAATTCACTTTACCCAATTTTGGTTCATTTTTTGGGAAATTATTTTTTTCTCTCTTTAGTATCTTTCACTTTTATAATAATAAAAACAAAAAACGTCTATGCTATTTTGGCTATCTTACTGTATATTATACTTTTTTTGAAGGAAATTTTCGCGGTTTTGTGATTTTTCCTTTTAAACAAATTTTAACTGCAGCATTTCACTTTCTTATTAAGGTCATGCCACATTGACAAATTTGACGTCATTCATGACACTACTGTGTCTCATAGACATGCACATACAATATATTATGTACCAACAGTGTCATCAACAAGGGCTAAGACAAACTCTACTAACATTTTCCTTTTTAATAAGGGTGCAACTATACGCTATGAAGTTCATATCGAAATTAAATATCTTTTCAATAACAACGAATATGTTATGGACCAAACAAGGGCTAGGCTTCATAAGTTACGTATTTCTTAAGCTTTTTTGTTTTAATTTGCAGGTGAGTTACGGTTTGTTGATGATTTGGGCTTAGAAGTAGAAAACTTTTTCTGTACTGGTTTCGGTGGAAAACACAGCTACAGTTGGTCATTTGTAAATGAAGATTTCCCACATAGACATTCGTCGCGTCACTCTAACACTTATGGGCATTCAAAGCAGAGGTTTAGGCATAAATATGAGTATGATGATGATAATGATGATGATGATGATTATGATTATGGATCGAGAGAACATGAAATGCGCCAAACTGATTTGAGGTCCCAGCGACTTGCCCTTGGCTTGAATGCCTCCGGTCCCTTAAATCTTGAAGATGTTAAAATCGCGTAAGTTTTCTTCAAGTCTCATCATCTAAGAAACAATCTCTCTTGTCTATTTTCCAAAAACCATCGCAAAATGCAGTTGTTTCTTAAAAAAATGTTCCCTTGATTATGATGTCTCATGCAGTTATCGTTCGTGCGCTTTAAAATGGCATCCGGATCGCCATCAAGGTCCTTCCAAGGTATTTTCTTTGTCTTCCATAGTTCCATTTATGGCAACAAAATAATTTTCTTTTCCCTCGCGTGTATAGACTATTGGCTACAATAATGTTCTTTTGTGAGTTTTGTCACCAAAAGCCAGTGTCTTAATATGACATTGGCCCATTTGAGGGCCCCACGGATGGAGCGCCATAGGGCCTTCAGTTACTGGGTGTCATATTATGACACTGCGGTTGGTTGTCGGAAGAACCTCAGTGATAGTAATAATAATGTCTTGTCAAACTTGGAAAAAAACATGGCTGTAGGTGGTCGCTGAAGAGAAGTTCAAGGCTTGCAGTTCGGCTTACCAATCGCTGTGTGATGAGATATCTCTCAACTAATCATCTGCCCCAGCAAGTGAAATGACGTTTTTGTCCCTTAACAACGCGTGGCTCCTGCAATGTTCTCTGTTCATTTAGGTCATAAACAAGAACGCAAGACTGCCTCCATATGTAACCTATTTTTCATTGACATTGTTCTTTTTGAAAGTTGTAAATTGTGATGCTGTGATGTACTGTTATTGCCATAGACACAGGCTTAAGGTTAAAGTTGATGAACTTAAGAGTTTGATTTCCATGGAGTGTAAAGCTTTCATCCAAAGTTTGTATTGGATCATTCTCATTTTTTTTGGGTTGATTTACAATTATCTAAAACAAGAAAAGAAGTATGGAGCAAACTATACTATTTCCCTCCTATGCAACTTTGTTTTTTTTGTGGTTAGTCATGATTAACCTTTGACTTATTATTAAAATAAAATTATATGGTACAGAGTATGTATAATTAGATAAAATAATATTTTAAAAATATTTTACAAGATAAATCTATCAAATTATTATTTGTTTTATCTAAAATATAGTATTAGTTTTATTTAATTTGTACTCACCAAAATTTGTTAACTTTAACTATAAAGTCAAATCTAGGCAAAAAATCCGGAAGGAAAGTAATATAGTAATCCTTTTCCCCAAAAAATTAAAATAAAATAATATAGTTGAATCCTTTTTAGCAAACTCAAACGGTCAAGAGCCTCCTATCAGTACTGGTCACAATTTAACATTTCAGAACTAGTATGATTAACTTGAGTACCTCGAGTACTAGTACCGCTATCGTGAAAACCCCTACCCGAGTAGCATTAGAAAGTCTATCATTGACTAAAATGTTTATTTGGGGGGAATGTTAAGGCTACACAAAAAAGTGTAACACAATTCTACTCCAAGGTAAACGAAGACATAATTCTATGCCCCTTCTTCTTTTCAAGATTATACCCTTATTTTTTCTTTACACTACTTTACTTCATCACATCCAGGGCAAGACATGAAAAGTCTTTATATTTTTTAATTTTTCTCAATCTTTGTGCCAAGTCAATTCAAGAAAGAAATTTTTGGACGGAGGTAGTATTTTTTAACATACTCCTAACATTTTTCTTATTTTACTAGAAGGGAAATGATTAATTTGGTTTAAGGATAGGGGTGGACATGATACGGTTTCGGGACGGATCCGGTTCTGGAACCGCCAATTCCAGTACCGCCACCCCTCACGGTACCGGTTCTGGTACCCGAACCGGCGGTTCCGGTACGGGACTGGCCAGTTTCGGCCACCCCCAATTTTTTTTGCTTTTTTTTAAAATTTTTAAAGTAATATTGTAAATGTGCAATTGTTAAAGGAAAGAATGAAATAAAAAATCTAAAAATGTAGTTGTTATTTAAATATGGTAAAATGAGTAATACACGAACTGAAGAACAATTACATTTAATATCCTGACGGTTCAAAAAAAGCGACGAGGTAAAGAGCCGTAAAGAAAACCCTCGAAGGAGCTTATATATCGCTCACCAAAAAAACTAATTACATGTCTACATTAACACGAAAAAAGTTTATAACTTATTCCTCAGAACTCGGACTTCCATTTGTGGTTTCGTTCTTGTAATGATCGGAATTGAAATCGTATCCTGACTCTTGAGCTCGACGTCTTGCCAAGAGCCAATCTCGGTTGCAAACAAGTGTTTCAAGAGATTCAGCGTTAAGACAACTTCGGAAGTCGGTTAGAATGTTGCCGCCAGCACTGAATTCTTGTTGCACTGCTACGGTTGATATCAGGACAGATAAAACTTGTCTTGCTAGCATTCCGAGACATGGGAACATGTGTTCGTTCCACTTCCACCATCCGAGGACGTCAAACTCCACGTCGTCGTCGTCGTAGTCGCATGGCACCCCTTGGTACATAGCAAGTTCGTTGTGCGAGCTTACAGTTGTACCACCTGAACTCGTCGAAGGCTGAGCACGCTTCCCTTTCTTTGCAAGAAGCCCACCGACTATTCCTTTAAAACCTTTTTTTTATTTGGGGGGCTGAGGAGGTACTATTTTTTCCGGTACATTACCGTATATCCCTTAAATTACCTAAATAAAGCCTAAAAAAGAGTAATAAGGGTACAAAACTAGATCAGCCATTTACCTAAATAAGAGTACTAATAAGCACACCATTTATCTTTCATAGGAGTGACATAAGGGTACAAAACTAGATCAGCCAAACTTTCACGAAAACATGTTGCGATTGTAACTCACTCTTTCAAAAATGTATTTGTAGTTGGTTGGTAAACATGCAAAAAAGTAAGAGTTGCGTTATTAAAAACTTCTAATACGACATTCAATTTTTCAACAATAACAAATTTATTAGGTGAAATCATTAAAAGAAGTTCATCCCTAAAAAATTCAGCAAGTTCCTTTTTGTAGCTTAGAATCTATGCTATCAACTTGTATGTACTATTCCATCTAATGGTGATATCTTTGACAAATGTTATTGCTCTTCTACCCTTAGACTTACAGAATGTCTTCCAAGAATTCGAATGAAGACGACTACCCCAAATCCTTCTAATTCCATTTTTAATATTCGTCAAAACCCCCCATAACTTCTAATCCCTGTTGAACACATAAATTTAAAACATGACAAGCACACCTTTGATGTAGAAATCTACCCATACTCGTAGTAGGGGGCAAATTTCTTTAAATCTAAGAATAGCATCAGTATTATTAGTAGCATTATCAAAACCAAATGCAAGCATTTTATCAACTAAGTTGTAATCCCGCAGAATACGCTGAATTAATAGAAAAATATTTTCAGCAGTATGAGAATCATTGAAATCACGAAATGCAAGAACATGTTTATGCATTATCCAATCACTATATTTATCCAATGACAAGTAACACCCATATAAGTCAAATTATGATATGTTTCATCCCAAATATCAGAACAAATAGTAACACGAGAATTAAAATTGAGAAAAAATTTGCCAAATTGATTTTTTCAACTTTATACTGTCGAATAATTTCTCGCATAATTATATTTCTTGAAAAACCACTTGCTTGAGGGTTGAATGCATGTTGACAATAATCAATAAATCCAAGTTTTTCAGAAAACATGTATGACAAGTTTTATTCACAAATGATTTCGGCTATTTTTTGCTTATTTTGCTCGTCGCTATAAGCAAAAAGGCCGCCCTTACCCCTGTTAGCAAACCGAGAAATTTGGGTTTGTACTTCTTATCGTCCCTTCTTTTTCGCCGCGTATTTGGTGTACTCCACGGGATGCCTCGTCCTTGGGTGTTTTTCCGGACCACCATAACCGGCGAAAACTCCCTTTTTAATGACGGTGGCACAATAATTACAAGTTCCAAAAACTATGTCATCTTTTGTTTCTTTTGAAAAATAATAAACAAATAAATCAGATTTTAATTTTTTTTACCTACCCTTTGTCCGGACCCTGAGAGGTCTCGGGCTCACCTACCTCCTCGCCGACGTCGGTAGGATTGTTGCTGTGCAGTGTAGGCTCCACGTCCATTCCTGCTTCATCAATGTCCTCGAATAAACTTTCAAGAGTTTCGAGATTGGTATCGCCTCTACTTGACATATAATGGTCGAATTCTTGATCCGTCAAAGCGTCGCCCACGAATTGGTCGAGGATACTAGGGAAGGAAGAGGCGGAGTGTCTTCCTTGAGAACCGCGTCCGCGTGAGGTCGAACCGTCAAAGGTGGCCTTAACTTTGCCTCTCCTTGAACTTCGGTTCACGACACACATATCCACTGACCTTCTATCGGACTCTCTCGACATTTTAACATATATTTTTTTTTGATAAAAAAGGACTATATTAAAATATTTATAATATTAATTATATATTGAATTTCGGAAATTTCGAAATTATAATATTAGTAAATAATAATACGGAGTATATGATAATTGATAATATGAATAATGAATGTATTTATATATTATTATATAATATATTAATATATATTTATATTATTATATGAATATAAATTGTATAAAAATTGAAAAGAGATAATAAGAATTAACAGATAATTAGAGATGTAATAATGAATGGATTGAGAAATGAGAGATTGAGATTTGAATTTAGAGAGTTGAGTGAGTGAATTTTTTTTAAAAATGGGTTTATTTATAGTGTTTTCTACCCCTAACCCCCCACCTCAAACGGCTATTAGCCGTTTCCCCCTCCCCCACTAACTTTTTTTTGCAGGTATCCGTTACTTGGATGAATTAAATTTTAAAAAAAATTAATTTTGGTACTGGAATCGGTACCGCCGGAACCGGTACCGAAAAATGGGTACCGGAACCGGTACCGATTCCCAGAACCGTTGGGACGTCCCGGCCAGCGGTGACGGTGGTGGGTACCGGCGGTACCGTTGTCGGTCATGTACCGTGCCGGCACAGTGTCCACCCTATTTAAGGATGCCCGGGCGCTCCTGTGCCCCAGATGATGAATGAACAGTGCTGACTTTTCAATCAACAGATAAAATTGCAATTTTCCTCTCCAAATTCATTTCACCAAATGCTTCCCAGTTCCCACCCATGAAGTAGTAGCCGCAACAGCAAAGGACTGTATAATCAGAATTGAAGTTGCAGTTATCAAAGCTCGCCGACAATCCGAAACCCATAAAGATTTTAAAAAAAAGACCTTTCAGCTGAATTTGCTGTTATGTAGATGCGAATAATGCTCAAAGCCATTCAAATTCTGGGTTCATCATCATCTTCTTCTTCTTCAGGGTTCGTCTTCTTCTGCGCACTGAGGAAGCCGCCGCACCCTATTTCCACCCTCTCCTTCATTTCAATTAAGCCCTTTCCCGCATCTTCCAAATCAACTTTACCGGCTCTTTTGCCGCGCCGTCGCAGTACTAGTACAGGCTTCCGAATGTACTCCTCTTGCCGCCGCGATTCAAATCCGGCCGGGACATCGTCTTCGTCGCCATCTGGAGGAGTGGCATCGTGTTCTTCTGCTTCGTCTGCGCCCTTTCAGCCCCCTGTGAGTTCCTGGTTCCCCTGATCTGTAATGTTATGGTTCGTTGGGTTGCATCAATTTTCTGGATTTCTTCTCTTTTCTTGCCATATTTGCTTTATTAGTTTGTGAATTTGTGATTTCTCTACTTATATTCAACAATGTTAGTTGGGATTTGGCTTGATAATTGAAAACCAGGCATTAAACATGTTATGTTCAAACAAGTATTTGGGTCTTGGTAAGCCTAACAAGTTGAGCATAAGGAGCCTAGAATGTTAAGGAGGCTAGTTAAACTCAAATGTTGTTCTATTGAAGTTCAACTTTCTGAAATCCACTTTAGATTAATCGTTAGGGTTAATTCACTTACTTTTCATGTCTGGCAATGAAGACATGCCCTATTTGGTTTGTAATTCACTTTGCTTTAGCCTTGCATCCGGTTTCTCTCTCATACCATTTGCTTGAGCATCTACTACTCTGTAGGTAGGTGTTTGCAAGATCAAATTTTGCCAGTCATGTGGTGGGCCTATGAAGCACGAGGTTCCCAATGGAGAGGAGAGGGAGAGAGCTATTTGTACTGTTTGTGGGAGGATTGCGTATGAGAACCCAAAAATGGTAAGCTCATTGACGTAGGAGACATTACCATGCGCGCATGCATTCTCGATTCTTTGTTGCACATGTTTATTCATCACATATGTTTTAAGCTATTCGGGACCAAAAGGTGTTTCTACTTCAGGAACAATAAGTTTCTTCTTGATTGTGATTAGTGATGGCACAATTTAAGCTTTGATGAAGTATCCTTTTTTTTACGTTTTACTGTTGTTGACTTGTTTCTATAATTGTCTTGGTCAATCCGCCCATTGCTTATGGAGCTAAAAGAGTCATCATTCACAATGTTTGAGTTTCAAGCACAAAATGAATTAAATAAAAAAGGCACATTAAACTTTCTATGTTTCTTACTCGCTATGAAGTTTTGGGAAATAAATGCAGCAATGCATCAATGACTCTTTGGTCAACGGTAGAATCTTCTCTGCTTTTACGCAGGTAAGATTGCGTACATTTTTACTCCACAGACCCCAAGGGAGTTGGAATTGTACTAGGTTGTTGTTGTTGGTCATCTTGGTCAAAGTTATCATTCATTTAATATTTGGTTGTTCTAACACGTTTTTATGTTTTCTTGAGTTGATGGTCTTCTAGAAATGTATCTACTCTTTTAGGTTGGGATTAGATTTGCTTACACCTACGACCTACCCTTGCCACACCTTACCTGTGGGGCCTTACTGTGTTGTTATTGGTCAAGTTAACATTATTCTGACATTTTGATGTTTCATTTTTTTGGGAGAGAGTTATTGAAATTCTGTGCTGATGCATAAGAGAAATGAGCTCTTTATTAAAGTTTGTTTTTTTAAATAATGCAGGTTGTTGGCTGCCTTATCGAACATGATAACAAAATACTGCTGTGCAAGAGGAACATTCAGCCGTCTCATGGCCTTTGGTATGTGTATACATATCAAAAGCTATACTGTTTTTTTTTAAAGAAATTAGAACATGTCTCCATAAAATTTACAAAAATTGGGGATATGAATAAGAAAAAAAAGGCTACTTAATATTTCTTGAGATCATCTATAAATATAACAGTAATTATTTTGTTACACAATGCCAAATTTCAATTATTATGTCAACTAAACTTGAGAAGTAATATTTAATTTAGGACTCTTCCTGCCGGTTACCTGGAGATGGGGGAATCAACAGTAGAAGGGGCGATGAGAGAAACATGGGAAGAGGCTGGTGCAGAAGTCGACATCATCTCACCATTTACTCAGTTGGACATCCCTCTTATTGGCCAAGTACATAATTTTGAAACTCTTGCTCCACTTATTTATTTGCATTCCGAATACAAATCCCCATTTACTAACCATAATCAGCTTTTATTATCCCTATCATTAGAATACACCTTTTTTTACTTTGTCTTGGTGATCTTTGAGCCGGGGGTCTCTTGGAAACAACCTCTCTACGTAATCACACCCTCCCAAGACTATTCTTTTTTGTGGAATTTTACTGGTTTTGTTGTTTTTGTTGTTAAATGTTTTGTTGAAATGGATGTTTACACTTTTTCCTAGTAGCAAATTGACTGTCTCTCTTATTGGTAACAGACCTACATAATTTTCCTGGCCAAGTTGAAGAGACCTCATTTTTCACCCAGTCCAGAATCATCCGAGTGTAGGCTCTTTGAACTTGGAGAAATTCCGTTTGAATCTTTAGCTTTCTCATCCATGTTGGTCACTTTGGAGTTGGTATGTTACATGGCTAGAACTCCACATAATGTTTCAATCACTTGCTTTTATTCCTAAGATCTCTCTAACAATGTTTTTTTTCTAACGTATACCTTGTGCTTGTAGTTCATAGAAGATAGAAAAGCTGGAAAACCTATGTTTCACTATGGCATCATTAACAAGAGGTACTCCCTCGCCATTTCACCTGAAAATGGGCATCTTAGGGTGTGTTTATGATTAGAAAATGAGCACAATTGTGTTTTAAAAAAGGTGAAACTTATAAGAGCCTGTTTGGATGAGTTTGGAAATATCTACCCAAAGTTGATAAGATAGACTTTACCAAACACTCACAAAAGGGTTCAAAGATTTGTACCCATATCTGATGTGCTCACCAAACGAGCCCTTAGAAGTGTTAATGAATTAACCTCCTGGCTATGGTTGTTGAACAGGCCTGGCACGAGTCCCTCCGAGATTCGCGCATACACTCTTGATCATCACTTTCAATGTTGACCGATGGAGATTCACATACGATCCCAAATCCCGTTTTGTTCGTCCGTTCGGTTTCACATATGGTCCATCCATACAAGAAATCCTCTATTTGGCTTAAACAAAAAAAAAGTCAAGAATGAAGTGTTGGTGCTATGGGGTGGCACTATGTGGGGGAATGTAGTGACAACTTGCTTTCAAGATTGGACCTCACTGTTTACACACTAGTTGCAGCAGCATCTAATCATCTCTATGTGTGTGTACTTTTGCACCCACCAGGCCACCTTATGAGAGAGCTCTCTTCTTTGATGAGCAAAACTTTGGATGGAAAAATTTGATGGGCTGGTTTTGTTTATAGTTGCCTGATTGAGCTGCACATTAATTTGTAAAGAGTGATTTTTAAAAAAAATAAATAAATAAATTTAAATATCACTTCTGTTCATGGATTTTTGTCAAGTTTTGATTTTTTGCAGTTAAAATTGATGAACTTTGACCACTTATTAATTAAAATTGGTATTGGTCTATTGGATATTGATATAATTTTTCTTTATTAGATTTTTTTAATGTATTATTTTCAATATATTGTTTTATCTAATTAATATATCATATAAATTTTATTTAATCATAGGTCAAATTTAGAAAATGATTCACTTATAAATTTTATTTAATCATAAGTCAAAATTTAACAAAACTACAACTACACTTTCCTTTTAAAATAAACTTCACATTTTCCATTGTTCCAATTTATGAGTGAAATTTATGACTCTTAAGTTCTTTTTCTTTTTAAATGTCAATTTCTCATTCCATTTTTTAGTAACATTTTTTTAAAAAACTTTGTGAGGTTGAACCATAGTTTTAAAAACTGGACTGGACCGGCCGGTTCGGAACGTGAACCGGCGAACCGGTGGTCCAACCGGCCCATTGGACCGTAGGTCCAAACCGGTCTAAACCGTTAAGAACCGGCCGGTCGGATCGGTCCGACCAATTTTTTTTCTTTTTTTTTTTTTTGCAACTTTTTCCAGAACTTAACTTCATGGAGGTTTGAACCCAAGACCTCTTAGCTATTTGGTTGAGTTCCTAACAATCCAACTAACGGTGTTTGTTGTTTCAAATTCGTATAATTTTTTTATAATATTTTATAATTAATAAAAAGATTGAATAAAAATTACTTTTCAATTTTAAAAATATAATACGTAGTATTATATGCTATGAGTCAAACACAAAATCATTGATATGTTTTAATAGAATTTTAATATTATTTTTAATATGTAAATTTTGTCTTTTAATTTAGTAAAATAACTCAAGTATGTTAATATAATTTTAGTCAAATATTATAACGGGAGCGTCTAAAATGACACCAGTTACTTATACACTAGTTGTTTACACCAGTTCGTTTGGGGTACCTACGGTGCTCCGTTTGTCAAAACGACGGTTCCTCCCCCCCTAACCCTCCCCCTAAACCCCCCACCCCAGCCCCCCCATCTCGCTCCCTCCCTACCCTGGCAGTACACTGCCTGGCAGTGTACTGCCAGGGTAGGGGGGCTGGGTTGGGGGGCAAGGGTGGGGCTGGAGTGGGGGGTTTAGGGGGAGGGTTAGGGGGTAGGAACCGTCGTTTTGACAAACAGAGCACCGTAGGTACCCCAAACGAACTGGTGTAAACAACTGGTGTATAAGTAACTGGTGTCATTTTAGACGCTCCCTATTATAAATTACTTTCTTTATGTATTTATATACTATGAGAATGTGTGTGTGTGTGTATATATATACTCCCTCTGTCCACCATAGATCTTCCCAATAGCCCTTTTTCTTTGTCCACAATAGATCTTCTCGTTTCATTTTTTAACAAGTAAAATACCACAACTACCCCCACTTACTTTATTTATTACACCTCACCCACCTCATTTAATACACTCCACCCATTTTTTATTAAGGGTATTATGGTAAACTTTCACCTTTTTTCAACTCTCCTTAAAAACCACCAAAAGTCAAAATGAGAACATCTTAGGCGGACGGAGGGAGTATATGTTTATATTTATATAAATAATATAATTTTTAAATATATTCAAACCACCGGTTCGACCAGTTGAACCACTGGTTCGACCAGTGAACCAGTACCTTGACTGGTTCGGTCCCCGGTCCGGTTCTCAAAACTATGGGTTGAACCCTACAATTTACCCAAATCCATGAGTATATCGGGTAATGTTTAAGTTGATATTAATATTGTTGTTGTTTCTTACCGCCTATAAAAGATGTTAGTAGATTTTCTTAACCAATTAATAATTCTCTTATAAAGTGATACCGTTTCATAATTTTTCTTAATTTATTGAACTCAGAAAATTATTATCGTGACTGAGATTCAAATTAACATGGAATTTTTCTGTTTAATCCTTTATTATCAAATATTACTTCGATGGTCCTTCTTTTATGAATATCATTTACAAATGGTTCTTTTTTTATCTTTTATCATATTTGTTTTAATTTGAGAGCTAAAAATTCTTTTTTATCTTTTATCATATTAGTTATAATATATTTTTATTGTCATACACACTTAATTTGTGTTCTGATTTTTAGTAGGAAATGAGAGTCATTATTGTTGTCTTATTAGTGTAACAAATGTAAAATACTCCCTCCGTCCTGTAATGATCTTCCCGGTTCGCAAAATGAAGAAAAATCTCAAGTTTTTAAATCTATTTTATTTAAATATTGGTATAGAAATAAAAAATAAAACATACGGAGTACATATTTAAAAACTACACCAAAAATTCAACAAAATAAGTGAGGAATATTTTATTTTATGGCCATGAAAAAACACTACCGAGGGAGTAATACGGAGTACCTCCCAGTCTTTCCTCAGCTGTCACCAACCTGCGCTTCTTCCTCTTCTGATCTCCCCATCTTCAATGGCCTTTTCCGTGAAGAATCTGCCGGCGCCGTTCTCGCCACACACCTCGTCGTTCCTACCTCACTCTCCCTTGTTAGTTTCTGCCGGAGCTTCCCCGAGAAACAATGTCCGGACTCCCAAGAGACGGCTCCGGATTTGCAGAGCCATGGTTCAGCAGCCCGTGCAAGGCGGAGCTTCCGCCGCTTTTGCTAAAGAGATGGAACGGATTTCCGCTAAGGAGTCCCTGCTTCTCGCTGTAATTCACTCCCCTCCCCTCGTTATTTCATTCTCTCAACAGCTCTTGCTGTTTATGAAATTGATCATGGAATTTTGATTGTCAGCGTGTTTCTGTTATTGCAATGTCGTTTCATTTGACTCCAAGCATGTTCGTTTCATGGGTATTAACATTGCAAGTTGAATTCGTGAATTTCATTCCCAGTTCAAAGATGCTGGAGGGTTTGAGGCACTAGTAACAGGAAGAATTAGGGAAATGCAGCGGGTCGACGTGAACGAGAGGATAATTGGACTCGAGCGACTCAATCCCACGCCTCGCCCAACAACGTAAGGTCTTTACTGTGACCAATTGAGTCAATCTACTAGCTTTACTATGAGCTGTTCATTTGTGCATTCCAGCTTTGCAGGTCTCCATTTTTGGAAGGTAGATGGAGTATTGAGTGGTTTGGATCTGGAAGCCCTCCCGCTAAGTTTGTTTTCGAGTAAGCCCTATACTAAAACTACCATTAGGTTATTTTCACTTTTCTTTTTCTGAATACTTTGATTTTTGTATATCATCTATAATTCATTGGGAAGTGTAGAATTGTGAGATTCCATCCAAAACCAATTGGCAATGTAATATATTAGTCGTTTCTAGCCGGGGTGTTCAATATAGGAATTTATATCCTCAACAAGGTTTGATGAAACTGTATTGTGATGTTTATACGTTGATGTTTGAAAAAATGGGGTTGACCTCTATGTGGGGTGTTTGCCTGTTCGGTTAGTAAATTTGTACCGATGACCTAAATTTTGTTTCAGGAGGTTTCCTCCGTCATTGGCAAATTTATCAAAGTTGGTTTTGGTGATCAAAGATAGCTATGCAAACATTGCTGCTAAAATGAAATTGCTGAACTCGGTAATTACTAATTGACTACTCCGTACCCATTAATGAATTTGGATTGAACATTCATAGGCTATGCATTTAGAAAATTATTTCCTTGTTTATTAAACAACACAAACAAGGCATCAATTTTTTCGAGAAAATGACAGTTCTTATATATAAGTTAATGTGCTAATGTTGACTTAGTTGTAATCCTAGTCACAACTTTACTGTTTTATGTTATGGATAACAGTGGTCACTTTAGTCATTTAGTCCGGCTTTAGAGACTTAAGTTGCAATTATTGTCACAACTTCGGATGAATTTTAGAACACTAGAATACTCAGTGACACAGTCTAGCACTTGTGGGCATGATATACCATTCGTTGTCACGGATTTCAGAAGAAATGAAACGATATATCATCAATGCAGATTGAAAGCAGTTTTGTTCTCTCGGCCAAGTTATCTGTTGAGGGCCCACTTAGAATGAAAGAAGAATATGTTGAAGGGATACTTGAATCGCCAAAGGTCAACGAAGAAACTCTACCTCAGCTGCTAAGAGGTGCTTTGGGACAGGCAATGAGCAGTGTCCAGCAACTTCCTGTTCCTATCAGAGATGTGGTGTCCACTGGATTGAAAATTCCGCTTGGTGAGCATTCTGTCTCACTTTTCTCCCCGCTTGTTGTAACAATGCCAATAGGTTTCAGTAATTAATCTTAACGTCCTTGAGTTAAATTCACTTTTGTAAGTTAGTCACGTAAGCTACTGGATGTCACATGTCCAAGTACAATTCAACTATGGTGAATGCCATATTCAAAGATATTGCCAATTTTTTACTACTACATGTGTTCCATCCCAAAAAGGTTATATTTCCAACTCCTTTGTAAACATTCCAGTTTGATCAAGTTGAGCTAAAATTTCACTTTCATAATTAGGATAAAAATCCAGAAAACAAGTTATGGACAAGTTACATATGATATACAACCAACAACCTACCCGGTAAAGTTCCACTGTTGGGATTTGGGGGGGGGGGGATGGAAGCAGACACCTACCTAGAAAAGGTAATTAGACCAATAAATATATTTTAAGGCTATAAAGAATGATTCATGCTTTGTTACCTTGACCTAAATTGGAAATTGGTAAAATGACATTTTGGGGATGAAATTAGGCCATGTTCCATTCAACTTATTTTATCTGTTTTTTCTTGTTCTTATTAAAATCGGATCAGATCAAATCAGATCTAATCAGATCAGATCGGATCGAATCAGATCAGATCCAATCAGATAAGATAAGATCAGATTAGATCATATCAGATCCAATCAAGAATTATTATTATTATTATTATTATTGTTGTCATTATTATTTTAAATTCCGTACTTTTTACTTGTTTCACTTGATACGAATTTTTCAAAAAATAAATTTAATTCCTCTTGAAAAAATATAAGAAAGAAAATGAAACTTTTGTGCGATTATAATTTATGTAGAGAAAAATAAAATGATATTTTATTTGTGTGATTATAATTTCAAGGTACATTATTCCTCACTTTTCATCAATGTTTTATAATATGAGTGTGTAACATTTTATGCAATGTATTATTTATAGCATACAATGTTTTTTTGTCAAGCACATCTAGCATGTAATATATTATTATACAAGATGCAGAAAAATAAATTATTTCTTTACTTAACATTGACATTTTATGAGGATGGGATATTTTAATAAAAATACTATCTCTTCTCTATATTGATTATCTAAATGTAATTACTTTTTAATGTATATATGAATTAAAAATTTATTCTAATGTATATATGAACTAATTATTAAAATATTAAATCAATATTCTTATTTCATACAAAAATAATCATAAAATAAAAATATTATTACATTATAATATGAATGATTATTCTAATATATGAATTAACTAATTTTTTTCATTAAAAAATAATCAAAGTATTGATTATATTATAATATGAATTATCATTACAATTTTCAAAAGTTATTATACAACTAGATCAAATTATTGATTTAAATTTTAAATCAAATCATAATTAATCACTGATTAGATCAGATTCAATCAGATCCAATCAAATCAGATCAGTTCAGGTCAGAACTACAAAAAAACTGATCACATCAGAAAAAATAAGTTGAATGGAACGGAGCCTTAGTATCACACATGTTCTAAAAATCTTACTCAATTGCCATATCATGTGTTTTATATGGGCCGTGGGAGTTTTTAGCCTCTTTAGTTTTACCAAACAATTGTTTTATTGCATTGCTTACAGTTTATTGAAAAAACTTGCTCATTTCGGTTTAAAATTTCTACTCAATGAATAAATACTACCTATGGGATATGCATATTTTAAATAGCCTCTACTTTCAAGTAGGGGTAAGGTCTGCCTGCCTACACACACTGACACCTACACACACTGACACCTTCACACACTGACACCCTTCCCAGACCCTACTTTAGTGATATTCTAATGGATTGTTGTTGTATGGGATATGCATATTTCTCAGTAGTTACACCTAAGAATGGTAGGCTTGGCACAACTAGTGGATTCTACCCCTTGTGTTATGCAGATCCACGGTTTGAATCCATCTAGTTGGACACTTGGACTATGACATGCTTTTTAGTCTTCACACCTTTGGTACGAGTGCCCAAAAATTCATTTAGTAAAGAATGAAAATGAACTTTTCTATTTAATTTTTTAAAATTTATTCTTTTCCTGGCTACCACAGTTTCTTGATTGCATAGCTTTTAAATATTTGACAATTTATTGGAAAGTGTTACTCTTGTGATTTTAGGCGGGAGCATTCAAAGATTATTTATCATCTCCTATCTTGATGAAGAGATCCTGGTAGGTCTTTTAAAAGCGTAAAATTTATTTATCAATCTTTGAAATGGAATGTACAGTTTGGCAAATTATTTATAGTTTATTGAAAACCTTGATCTCTGTTCTTACTAATTTTGCACCTGGTGCGGAGTGCGGACAGAAAAATCCTTTGCTGTTGATCCAATATTGGTTTCCAAGTCTATGGCCTTGTTTGAAATACAGTTCTTAGCTCTTAGATGTTTGTCAATGGTTTGGGTAGATGTTCTTTGTCTCCTGTTTGTGGTAATTTAAGGAAAAACTGTTTGGTAAGATAACCTGTTTTGTCAGTTGTTTGAAGTTTTAAAGGTAAAAAATTGTAGATTGAGAAACTGTCTTAATGTTCACCAAACACTTCTGATAGATGTCGGACTAATCGTTACACCGAATAAGTTCTCTTCCAGCAAAAAGCTGCCCAGAAAGTTGTGTGCCAAACAGGGCCTATGATAGTCAGCAAAACCAAAACCTGGACTACTTCAAAGTAATAGAAGAACTCAATTAGAGTGACTCATGGTACGGAATATGAATGCTTCTTGTTAGCCCAGTCAATAGGTTGGTTGATGATTTAGTCAGAAGCTGTGACAAAATTTATCCTCAGTTGGAGAAAATGTCTTCTAGGTCCCGTTTCGTAAGGAGACCTTTCGGTGAAATGGGTACTGCTTAGTTTTCCAAAAAAGAAAGCATCTCAGCCAAATAAGTCCAAAACTACATATTCATTACTTTGTAATAAGTTTGGCAAAAGCTACCTTCTTTATCATAGGTTCCCTATCCTAATGAGTTACTTGTCTCATTGCCAATTGGTTTTGGGATGGATTATTCTCAACATCTCACAATTCTACAGCCTTGTAACGCCCCGTTTGGCATGTGCAGATTATCAGAGATAGCAGTGGAGCACCAGAAGTCCTCACAAGGTTTGATTCGGACCCTGAGACAGAACAGATAATAACCGAATACGAAAGCTGAAGGGCACTTTCGTCTTTTGCACACATGAGACGAACCTTAATCACTTGTTGCGGTCATCATCAGTTATTATGTGTGATAATGGTTTCATCATCCCTTTCCCTTTTGTTGTCACAGACAGATTAAAATGAACTGTCTCCCAGTGTAGTAATGATCATGTAAGGAATGGGTAAAAAGTGAAAAATCTTCATTAGCTTGGTTTCCATAACTGGCCATATGAGTTCATGTTGACCATGGATGAAGCAGTTGGCTTTTCTGCAATGAATAGAAGCTGGAGTTGGTAAACCTTTTTACCAGCTATATCACTCTGTATGATTTTACTCTGTAGTACTCCCTCCGTCCTATAATGATCTTCCCAGAGCACTATTCTAACTTCACGGGAATTTATATTTATTTGTGTTTTTTCATGGCCTATATGATAAAATAAAATATTCTTGTCACCACTTGTTTTGTTAAACTTTTGGTGTAGTTTTTAAATATGTATGTTTTATTTTTTATTTCTATACCAATATTTAAATAAAATAGATTGAAAAAACTTCGGATTTTTCTTCGTTTTGCGAACCGGGAAGATCATTATAGGACGGAGGGAGTATTTGTTTATGTCACAAGTACAAAGTGAAATTGTAGTCAAATAGTTATTCCATGTCAAAAAATGTTTCACTTTTATTACTATTATTATATTATTATTTAAAATATATAATTTGTTTTTTTTGGTAAATAAAAAGAGAAAAGATGGAATCTTTTTGGGGCAGAGATGTGAGCTAAGACACTTACGTATTTATTGTTCAGGCGGCAAGCGTGTGTGCATACTGTGTACTAGTAATTTTTTTGAAAACTCTTTCACACTTTATTTTACAGTACTACCCAGTATATAATTTGATGGTCTGGATCACACCACACGTGCAAAATTAAATTAAATTACTCGACTAGAATGAAAATGCCCTCAGTAAATATTTAAATTGAATAGTAATTTCTTTAATTAATTTGTGTAAAATCATAGACACAAATTCAACTACTTGTTCAACCAAAATCAAAACACGTCACTGGATACGAGATTAATGTGAAATTATATTTTTAGTCTTCAATGTAACACTAACATAGCGGGAACTCAAAAGAACTATATGTGAGAAATACACATAAAAGATGAACCAAACGCGTAATATTTGATACTCCGTAACCAAGTACCAAATGTGAAAAACTTTCTATTATAGAGGATCAATTATAGTATTTACTCTAAACTTTTGAAAAAATATAGGGACCTTGTAAGCTTTATCCTTTTGTTAACCACTTTTAAATTAACCAATGTAGTTTACATGTGTTAATTAACGCTTTTAAATTAACCAATGTTGTTTAATTGTGTTTTTTAATGTAGTTTAATTATGATGAGTAAGTTTTAGTTGAAAGATTAGACCATTAATGATACTTCCTTGCTAGTTGCATAAATTGCATATATATATATATATATATATATATATATATATATATATATATATATATATATATATATATATATATATATATATATATATATATATAGAGAGAGAGAGAGAGAGAGAGAGAGAGAGAGACATCCTTGTATTTGATGTCATGGTAAGTTTAGAAAATAAAAACTCTATTTGTATTGTTGTAAAAAAGAAATTCTATTTGTATTTGATACTTACCAATTACTATAGTAAGTCCTCAATCCTCACTATATCCTTCATAATTTACCGAGAGAATAAAGGGATATTAATAACTTGTCACCCTAAGTACTCCGTAGTAGAGTAATTAGAACTTTATTGAAAATAACCTTTTTACTTTACTTTCGAATAAATGTACCTAAATATAATTAATTGGAGAAATATAATTTGGCTACACTTCATTATTTTAATCAACATTAAATGATAATAATAATAATAATATTAACAACAACAATAATTCCTAAAAATGTCAAGACACAATGTCATTACAACTAAATAATAACAATAATTAAAATAATAATAATAATAATAATAATAACAGCAGCATTTTTTTGACCATATAGTAATAAGTAATAACAGAGCAATTAGTAAGAGCTAATAAGTGCATATATGTAATTATATTACTAGCTAGGCCGTAATGTCCCGGTCGTCGGCCGGGAAATTAAACATTACTAGTAGCCGGCGGCCAGGACGCCGGAGTTGTAAGCGTCCAGTAGGAGCGTCTGGGGAGGACGGCGGCAGTACCCGTCGTCCTTAAGCTCGTCCAATAGCCCATCAAACTCCGGCGACCCCACGTCGGAGTCGTCCCGAGGGCACTCCCACCCCATCTTCTCCTCTCCGGCGACGAGGGTCCGTCTCTTGCTGTCCACGCGCCGGCGAGTCCTTTCGGGCGCCGGCGGCGGGGGCTTGCCGGTGAGGCGCTGCACGAGCTCCCGGAAGTTTTGGGCGTCGGTGACGATGATCTCCGGGGCGAAAATGTGGATGACCCGAATCTTAGCGGGTTTGGATTTGGATATGGCGTGGGAATCTTTGGAGATTCTCATTTTCTTCTTCATCATCATCGTCGTCTGCGGGTTGATCGTGTGGCGCGTATATATATATATACACACAGTGAGGCCACCCTTTATATATAGGGGTGTTTGTTTTTTCTGCGGGAACCCCGGACCACTACTGTAGACATCTGCAGGAGAAGTGGTGGTTGAGAAGACTGTTTGTTTTTTTAATGTCTGTATACTGCTATATAAATTAATGGTGGTAGTGTACGGTGGTGGTGTATGGACGATTGTGGTGGTGGTGGAGGGTGGAGGTGGACGTTAACGGCGGTGGTGGTGGACGGTGGTGGTGGTGGCGGTGGATGGTGGCGGTGGTAGTGGACGACGATGGTGATGGACGGTGGCGG